GATTCAGGAATAGGGTCCCACATGTCGGAAGATTCGAACCTCAAAAAAAAAAGAATTTGTAGTTGTGGGTGCTCAAAAAAGTTAAAAATTGTCGGAAATGTCAATATAAAATGTCACCTTGATATTTTTTTTTCCCCGTGAGGTATACACTCGAATACGCAGAGCCGCGAGTGATTCAGGAATAGGGTCCCACATGTCGGAAGATTCGAACCTCAAAAAAAAAAGAATTTGTAGTTGTGGGTGCTCAAAAAAGTTAAAAATTGTCGGTACAACTGGTCAAGCTTGACAGTGTTGCCATAATTATTTGATAATCAGGATCATCTAGGGTTTTTGAACCCGATTAACTTATTAATCGACTTACCGGAATACCGGGAGTGCTTTTTAAAATTGTTGTAAATTTCAAATTTTGACGTTTGACACATCCTTCAAATACAGTTTTCAAGAAATAGAGTAGTTTCAAAATGGCGATAACGTTGCCAAATGTTATATGGCTATCTCTCTTATGTTCGTTCATTTTGACATGTTCTCACTCTATCTAAACATCGTTAGCCGCCATTGTATAAATATCGAATGGAGTGATGAGTTGCTTGTCGCGCCTTATTTACATAATTTGTGTTTTTCGAAAAGATCTCTTTGCAATATGGTGAATCTTCCCATCAGTATTTTTGTCAGTACTTAAGATAACCAGTGAATCGAATAGTGCATGGCAACAGTTGATATTTTATCAATGTTGCAAAGGTAACCTCTTTTGGACAGGAGAGCTGAACCCAGAGGTATCCCATTGTGATATGATTAATTGTGTTATTTAAGAAAATAAGTTGATTATTCCATCAACCCTTGGATTTTTTACTTCATGATATACGAATCCAGTAAATGGAGTAATCGATTTTGCATAATAAAAGGTATTGTGATCTGCTTTAAACTGTATTCCTTCCAGTAACAAACATGAATAAAAGGCGGAGAGCCAGTTCTGTGTCATATAGATACCAAGAGGAGGATTCTCTTGACAGTTTGGAAGCTTCTACAAGCAGTGGCCCAACAATGCGAAAAAGAAAGAAATACTTTGATCCTGTAAGTATCAGTACCATTGTAAATACTGTTTTAAGGATATTTAACCCACCCAGACGTTGAAAAATCAACTGTTCATTCATTTTCAGTAGTAACAAGTCATGAAATGTCACCTCATTTCACGATTACATGATATTTTTATATGAGCAAAATGTTTAATTTTTTCAATTTTTTTTTTTAACAAATTACATCAGAATTGTTGACAGTGTTGAAAAATTGCACTAGAAATGAATGTGATATTTTCAAATTCATAATGCTATCGAAAATTATCTGCGCTGTAATTACTCATTGAATTATATTCTAGATGGAGGCATGTCAGCAGCTGATTGACATACTGAGGAATCATAAAAAAGAAGATGGCTCTTTGCTCAGTGAATCTTTTATTAGAGTTCCGAAACGTAGGCAAGAACCTGCTTATTATGATGTCGTCAGCAATCCGATAGATTTGTTAAAAATTCAGCAAAAGTTGAAGATGGACGAATACGATGATATAGATGATTTGCAGAGTGATGTGGAACTAATTGTAAATAATACCAAGGCTTTTTATAAGAAGAATTCCCAGGAGTTTAAGGACGCAACTGAACTTTGGGATTTGTTCATTTCCAGTAAAAATAGGTAAGTTTTCTGTTTCATCCATTCAAAATTATCAACGATTTGAAAAGTTACTGTCATTAATTACAATTAGATTAATTTTTATTATTCAACTCTGCACCTGGATAATTATTGTTGTTTTTCAGAATAATTGGTGTAGAAGATGAACCCAAACCTGTAAATAATAAACAGGCCCTAGTGAAAAACTCCAAACGTAGTGTATCCAAAGTAGAATCTAAGAATACCACGAACCATGATGAGGACGGCAATACTTCAGATGACTCAAATTTCGACGATGATGGGACTAATCCGTTCGAGGAACTATTCGAAGCTGTCATGACAGCCAAAGATGACAATAAAAAGCTGCTTCATCCAGCCTTTCAGTTATTGCCATCGAAGAAGAAATATCCCGATTATTACGAAGTTGTGGAACAGCCTGTGGATTTGAAGATGGTAGCCCTCAAAGTACAGAATAATAAATATAAATTCCTGATAGAGATGGAGAGAGATTTGTTACTCATGTGCAAAAATGCTTGTCTTTACAACGAGCCCGGATCGCATATCTATAAGCAAGCAAAGGTGCTGAGGAAGGTGAGAATTTATTTTTATTTATTTATTTATTTATTTCAACGGACAAGCCAATTTNGATTTGCACAAATCAAGTCCCTCTGGAATACACAGAGAGAAGAATAATTTTTTATATTATTTGACAGTTTATTAAAACTGTCTAGATCTGTCCATAACCAACAAACTTAATTTTTTTATCCAATGTTTGAGGTTTAAATCCTTAATTTCACTGTTCTTTGGTGTTTTTTGGGTTTCTAACCTTCCACAATATGAAAAATGAATAAATATAGTTGATCCTGAAACATTACAGAGTAATATAAACCTTTCAAAAGTCTAATTGGTTGTTCTTTCAATGTTCGTCAGAAGGAAGAGCCATATCTGCAGAAGATGTGTTTCCAATACCAATATTTTTAGGTTTTGAGAACGGATGAAGACTATCTTCCGAAATGTTGGTCTTTTTTAAAATAGCTAAGAAATAAAACTTCTTTCTTTCTATGACTATTGGATAAAGTGTCAATTCTGTGGTCATTTTGTAAGCTTTGAGAATTTCCTACCTCAAAATATGTGCTCACACATTAAACTTATTGAACTGACATTTTGTTTTGAAATAATCAGTTATTTGGACTCGGGAACTGAAATCGATTGTACACTACCAGAAATTTGTAATGTGGTGAAACAATTGATACTTTTCAAAAGTTCGTCACATGATATCAAAGTAAGAGATACTAGAAACTTAGAATAGCTTTATGTCACATCAATTTGTAAGCTGCTTCTTGGAGTAGTTAGAACGTTGTACTCAGTATGATGAATTTTATTTCAAGTATTCCTGTTGTGAGTCACACAACAGTGTGAGTTACACAAAGCTACATGCCAATTACTTGATAAAGCCTTGGTGTTGAATTGCACTTATTGATTCGTTGAAGTTCCATCGTTCTACCATTAAAAAAAAATGTTGTGCTGAGTTCAATTCTCTTTTTTATTCGTGAGAGACATTTAAATTTAAAGTGTATTCCACTAAAAAACGATTGACAAACTATATTTGAGCATGATAATTGATGATAAGAACTGACTGACTGCTTTTACTACAATCATGGACT